CTCAGCCTCCCAAAGTGCTGGGATTACAGGGGTGAGCCACTGTGCCCAGCCCCAGGTAGTTTTTTATTGCAGTGTGAGAAAGGACTAATACACTTCCCTCTTTCCCTTTTTTCTCCCATAGATACTAGATTATTATAATGTGATAATATCTTTGCTAGGTACTAAAAATATGAAGATAAGTAAGATATGCTCCTTACTCTGATGGAGTCTCTAGTAGTAGACAATTAAACAGACCAACATTTAAAAATCAGTTCACTGAGGACTATAAAAAATGATGCTCAGGATGGGTGCTAATGAGACAAACAATGAAGGAAAATATTCTGGAAGAGATGACCCCAGATCTGAGTCTTAAAGGATGGTTAAGAGTTATTCAAGAGAAGCGACATTGACAAACGCTGTGCGTATGCAATGTGTACAAAGAGCCAGCAATGTGTCCAAAGCCAAGGGGCAAGAGAAAACATAGCTGTGGAAGATGACGGTGATCATGGTGAGAACTGCTGTTGACCCAATAACATAGAAAAAAATATTGTGCATGCTTTTCAATATAGTAAAACTTTCCTCATACAGTAGAAGGTAGACCTTTGAGCATTAGCATGGCCCCTCATGCTGCCCAGTGGAACAAAAGCTACTTAACTTCCATGTACAATCTGGTATGGTACTCACTATATATATACTACATTGACAACTGAATTTTGGCCATATCTCCATAAGAAATTAGGGAGACACTAGAGTGTTGTACTCATTTACATAAATGTTTTTATTGTAGATGTCCTTGGTACTTCCTATTTGCTAATTCAGTAGAAAGCCTAGGCGAAGGTAATCCTAAACAGAAATCTGAGTTCTAGTCAGTCTTTGAATGCCAACCAACCTCGTTGGTCTGGCCTAGCTTAATGGTATACTCTAGGAAATGAAAAAAAGTACAGAACGGCTAAAGCATGTGGCACAGAGTGGGGAGTGGTAGAAATTAAAGAAGTAAGCAGGGGAGAGAGGATGACAGCACTTATACACTTTAGTGAGTAGGTCTTTATCTTGGAGGCAGTGGGAAAGCCATAAAAATTTTTTAAGAGATGTAATATGACCAGATTTGCATTTTAAAACAATCAATAATGATACTGTAAGAAGGGATTCAATAAGGAAAGACTAGTCAGAAGGCTGCTCTAATGATATAGGTGAGAGATGACGACCTGCATGTCTGTGGCAGTTGAGAAAGAGTCATGGGAACAGATGGTAGATATACAGTCAGTAGTGTGGGAAGGGAAGGGGAGAAGGAAAGGCAGGCATTCAGAGACACTCCAGGGTTTCTGGCTGGGCAACTGCATGAATAACAATTTCATCTTCTGAGACAGAAGACAGGATGGGAGCAGGTTTTGGAGAGAAGATGATGAGTTAAGTTTGGAGGATGTTGTATTTGAGGGGACACAGGATATGTCAAACAGACAACTCTATAGCCAAATCTGGATATGTATTGAAAAGTAGAAAACCAAAGGAATGAAGGTACCTTGTGAATATGAAATATCAACTATGAAAACAAGGCTGATGGGAGGGATAAGAAAATACAACCTTAAAACATGTGCTTTAAAAATGTAAGGAACAGGAAAGCATGGTGAGATGTAAATTGAAGCAGTATGTGATGCAGAATTCAGAAAATGAAGGACATTAAAAACCCAACTGTTACCATGAACAAATCTCTTTTCTACAGTTTCTCATGAAACAAGAGTACTCCCTTTACTCCCTCTTTTTGTCTTTTGTTTTGTTTTGGTTTTGGTTAGAAAGGAATGTGGTATTTTAGCTAGTGTCTGCTGGAAATTTTGTTTAACAAAATGTAGTAACTGGACACCCCAACCTTCTGAGAATTAAATAAAACAAAAAGTCTGCTCCAAATACAGAGACATAGCTCACCTCAGGTGCTTGGCACAAGGGCATGGGGAATGTGATGTAAGCATTTCCTTCTCTACAAAAATGCATCTAAGGAGAGTATGAAAAGTTTGTCTCAACACAATTGACATGTAATCATTATGAGTTCAAACCAAATGTGTTAATCTGGAAAAAGCAGTACTGGCAGATTTCTTTTTCCTTCATTAAGCAATGACCTAGTACAGAACAATGCATTGCTTATGGCAATCTTTGAAATCACAAGTAAACTTTAAAAACACTGCCTACAATGAAAATGCATGTGCCCTAGATCAGGGTTCCCAGAAACACATCCAGTAAGCATATGGACCATGTTTTCCATTCTTCATTGCATAATTTATTAAAAAATCTATAGGGAGAAATCTATGATTCCACTGAATGCAATGTGTTATGTGTGTGTTGATTTATATTAGCTAGGGCAAAGAGGCTATATGTCATATTTAACACACATATATTTCTTGTTTGCCATTTAGCACATCCACAAAGACCCATGCATACAAACACGATAACACACAGATAACTGAGTAATGCTTTCTTTGAAGTGCTGAACTTTCATAGATTGGTAGCATTCTCTAAGAGTTCACACAAAAAGTAAGATGGATACATAGGAAGTATAACTCTAGGACAATCAAATAAAAATAAATATCAAATCCCACTTTGAGATATAAAAGCATATAACTCATATGTCCCTGTTATCTTTCCTTCCAGCTGCTGAATATTTGGGTATTATTTCTGTTTTGCCATGTTACACAGAATAAGCTTCTCTGAGTTTCTCCCAAAAATCTACTTACAGAAAAGCAGTTACTAGAGATTCTGTAGGAATGAGATAGAAGTGGGTGAGGGTTCCTAAATGCTTTTATGTACTTGAACTACCATGTTATGCCTAAAGTAAGAGCAATATATTCACTAACTTCAAATGCACCCTCCCCTCCCTTTTTATTCCACAAGAAAATACAGAGTTTAAGATTGGTTCAACTTTATACCAAGAAATAAGAGTAGAGTTACTTGTTGAAATACTACCTCCTAGTGGTAAGATCATCTCATTTGTTTTATAAAGCACTGGAGTACCGCATATTTGGCCACTGTGCTATTCTTCACTATTTAAAATTACAGTTAGATAAATGGCCCAGTAAGTTTTAGTTTGATAGTACTTCCAAAAAGGTATTTCATTAATGTTTATTTGATTTACAAACTTAATTCCCCTTATTAATAAAATAGCAATCAATATTTCCTATGTGCAGTTAGTAGCAGTGCTTAGATTAAAAACAAAACTTTAGGAGGAATAAGTTCCAGTGTTCTATACCACTGTAGGATAACTATAGTTAACAATAGTATATTATATAGTTTGAAAATTGCTGGAAGGAACAATTAAATCTTCATAACGCAAAGAAAAATGTTTGAGATGATAGATATGCTAATTACCTTGGTCAGATCACTATACATTATATGAACAGAAACATTATTATGTATCCCATGAAGAGGTACCATTGTTATTTATAAATTTAAAATTAAAAACAAAACCAAAACTTAATTTACTAGAAATCTTTGTTGTTGTACCCCAAAAGTCCTAGAAACCTACATACAAATGTGTGAGAGTGACAGCTATCTTGTACATGCAATAAGATGATTATTTAATAACCTGATAGTTCTGAGTTACTAAATCAGCACTTTTCATTCAGTAAAACAGCAAGGAGACAACTTTTCATTACATACTTTGGCAGAGATAATCCAAAATCAGATAATCAAAATAATTTTCATTTGGTTATAGAATGTTGTAGTACATAAAGCAAAATGTGTCTGCAGGATACTCCAAATTTACCACTTCAAACAAAATAATGCACAGTGAAGAACTAGAAAATTATTAACCTTTCTCAATACATGTAAGTATTCCTTAATCTTTATCATTTTCATTAAACAAAATAATATTTTGGATGAGTTCAACATTTTTATCCTATGCTTTATGTTTAGTGCCTTCCCTGAATTGGAAAAAATGAGGAATTTTATTTAAATTTAACACTGAGCTAAGGGAGATATAGAATTAAACTAAACAAGAATCAGTTGTCACAACCTCACAACATATATCAAAGTATTGAAATTGCTGGTTTACTGATTGTCACTTTTCACTGGATATTAAATATCCTGAGGGTTACAACTGTAGTTTTTTAACCTGTCCCAGTACCTCAACAAAATTTTCATTGAATAAATTATGTTAACAAAAAATTAAAAATAAAAATATAATTAAGGTCCCTTTAATTAATTTTAAAATCTGAGAGGAAAATTGGAGTCACAAAACGTATGCTCAAATCTGATTTCATCACAAATTATGTGATTTTTGACTTCCACCTCAATGAAGCTCAGTTTTCTCAGCTGAATAAAAGGGATAATGCCCGTGTATTTCAGAGTAGCTGTAAAGGTAAAATGAGCTAATGTACATGAAAGTCCTTTGGAAATACCAAACAAATGTTATTTGCTGTCATGCCACCACACATACATGTAGGAAATACATGTATTAAATAAGAAAATTTTTAAGATGCAATGTGATAACTTACATTAAATATATATACAATTTCTCCCAAATGAAAACTAACTTAAGTTCTCTCTTTAACTGACAAACATACTCAAAAGCACTCATCCAAAAAAAGTCCCTTCCTTCAAGATGTAGTTCCCCAGCTTTTTCTCTTCTCTAGTAAATGCTGTCAAAGAAGAGTTGACACCTATGCATCTTCTTCCTAATGCACTGAAAGCCGACTCAATGACCACTGCCTATAGAACAGTTTCAATGCGCTTAATCCACTGATTTCTTTTTAATTATCTCTTTATTTTATCCCTGAAGATTTCGTTTTGAGTACTTTCCACACCTATCCTGGCTTCTTCAAAACAACTACCCTATTTTTTCTTACTTCTGTGACTAATTTTTTTTACTCCTTCAGCTTCTTATTCTTGAAATGCAGGTGTTTTATAAGGTTATATTCTTGGACCTCCTTTTTCTCATCCTAATTTCTGCCTAGATGATCCAACTTGCTCCAACAGAATCAAGCATCATCTCTGTACTGTAAACCTTGAAATCTCTGTCTCTGTCTCAGGTTTCCTCCTAATTTCTAGGTCTATATTTCTAATTATTAACCAAAGATTTCTATCTGGATGTCCTTCATTCTATGTAAAGTCAAACTCATTATCCTCCTCTCTTTTCCCAAACCTTCTCCCTCTCTTTGCTGCCAATCTTGGTAAACAGCCAAGCAGAAATCTTAAGAGTCATTAATGACTTTTCCACTCTTCCTCACCTCTTACTTCCATTATCTAGTAACAGGATCTATTGATTCCATCTCTTAAATGTCTCTCTAATCCATCTACTCTCTTCTCTATTTTAATTTCCACTTCCTTCATTGGATCTTCATTATTTCTTTTTGAAATATTTTGACCACCCCTTATCTAGTCTCTACGCTTTGGTCTCACACAATTTAAATTCGTCCTCTTAAATATGATGCCATGGGGGAGGGAGGAAAAAAATCGTTACTTTCTTGTTTTTTTGGCTGCCTACTCATTGCCTGGAAAATAAACTGCAAGCTCTTTGACACTGCAGTTGAGACCCTTACTTATCTGTTTCCAACCTGTTTCTCCAGCCCTAACTCCTGCCCACACCCTTTTCTCTCTAGAATATGTTATGCACTTTCAGTTTCATGCCCTGGTTCATGGTGTTCCCTCTACCTGTTATGGCTGTTCTTCATTTGTCAAAAACCTCTACATCTTTTGAGCCCATGTGATATGTGATTTTCTCTTGTAATATTTTCTCTACTCTGCCTTCTGGGTAAAATTAACCTCTATTCCTTATGTTCTCTTCTACTGCTATTAAAATTAAGTTGCAGAAGTGTTTATCTCCTTCATTGTATTAGACTCAAAGGAAAAAAGTCGTGTTCATTTCTGTTCACCTATGCTTAACACAATGCCTGACCAATAGAGGGTATTCAATAAATACTGAACTGAACAAATCTATTCCTGATCTGTGTAATAAACAGGAAGAACAAACTTTAAGAATAATTGTCATGCATAAAACATATTAGCTACAACATACTGATTTTTGTCAGTTATTATTATAATTAAATGAAAATCATTTGACTTTGAATAATAGTAAAAATATACCCTAAAGATGAATTATCCATTGTAATCCATTTGGTTTTAAGTAGATCAAACAGCTAAATTTCTCTCTTGCAGTCAGTTTGGAAGGAGGCAGGAAACAGTTATACAAAAATCCAGTCAAGTATCTGTAAAATACATAGAAATCAAATATGAGACCCTTACAATCGTGAAGTCTATTAAAGTTTTTCTGTAAGTTAAAGAGCTAAAAACATTGTAAAGAGTAAAAAATAATATTAATTCAGCTAGAAGTAACCTTAGGGAAAATTACATATGTCCTAAGGGGGCGGTGCTAAATCAGTGCCATGAAATATTTTTGTATAATTCCAACAAAACCACCTCTGATAAATACTATTTTAAGAAAATTACACTCAGTCTTGTTCTATGACTTTAGATCATGTGTCAGCAAACTATAGCTGATAGGCCAAATCTGGCCCTTTAAATGTTTATTTTATTCTTTAGAGACAGGGTTTATGTTATCCATGCTGTACTCAAACTCCTGGCCTAAAGCAGTTCTCCCACCTCAGCCTCCTGAGGAGCTGGGACTACAGGAGCAGGGCCACTGTGCCTGGCTCCCTCACCTGATTTTTGTAAACAAAGTTTTATTGGAACACAGACATATTCATTCATTTCTATATTATCAGTATCTCTTGTTGCTCTACCTGTACAATGGTGAAGTTGAGTAGCTGAGACATATACTGTATGTCCCACAAAGTCTAAACTATTTACTGTCATTTTAAAACAAAAATTTGGCCAACTCCAACTGCAGATAATCATTTGGAAATCTAGTTGAAAATCAAGCTAGTTTGTATGTGAGAATTTCTTATTATTCTAGAATTTAGAATCTTTATGCAAAGATTTATTTTCGAAAATAACATGAAAGTTATAAGGATGTTAGGATAAGGAATGTACAGATAGCAAGTACATAGTAGAGAGAAAGGAAATACTTACATACTTTTTTAAAGATTAAATTGTTTTATTTTTATACTTTTAACATAAGCCTGGCTAATTATTCTTCATTAACTAGGAAAAGGAGTGGCTGCTCTTTATAATAGAGTGTTACTGAAAATGAACTTTGCTACTACTATTATATCACTAAAAAAGTAGAAACATCATTCTTCCTGTAGGAATAAAGGAGTAAAGTTAAACATAATTAACTTTTTTTAAAATGAGGGGAAGAAACAGCTAAAAGAGGAAGAAAGAGAAAGGGAGGGAGAGGTGGAGAGAGGGATGAAAGAGAGGAAAAATGGAGAGAGGAGAGAAAACCTACTGTACCTTATTCTCTAATTGATATGAAGCCAATTTGTGTACCAAAATTAAGGCCATCTCGGACATGGGAGAAAAACTTGTCAGGATGGCAAGATGTACAGAGGTTGAGATCTTGGTTCTGGTCCTGAATATTCCGTGGAAGAATTCCTCCCCGTTCTAGAAGAATCCTTAGGAAAAATATTTTTCAAAAGAGAGCAAGAGTTTATTTTCCCAATAGCCAAAGCAATATGAAAAAAAAATACGAATGTTGGCATGAAAGAGTTCCAGGAAAGATGTACCTAGAACAATGTATATTGTTATTCAATTACAGAACATGGACTAGTCAGGAAAAAAATGCTACGCTATATCAGCATTTATCACGTAAGTTCATATATGCACAGTACAACCTTCCGTATTGTCCTATAGACATAATCTAGGTACAGAATTTTATAATCAAAATCAAGTGCTTATTTAAGAAGAAATCTCTACGAAAGTTACCAGGATATCAGACAAAATTCATCTGGCTCAGTCAGAGTATGCTTTTTAGTCATCTGGCCATTCATCTCCTTTCCTTCTATTAGCCAGATTTTTCTCAGAAAACTTGCTTCTCCATGAACACTTTATGATATGAAATATGACTACAAATTAGTGATACTTGATTTAAAAAGTCACATTTAAGAATCAATTTCAATCTCTTCCACGTCTGTACTAAATGAGGCAGACTCTGGGTAAGGTTTTGGTGACTGGAATGGAAACGTGATTTAAAACACACATTAATTTGCCTTTGTAGTAATGACAAATAATTTTCACCAGTTATTAATAGCAAAACTTCATAAATTCAGAAATGCAAAGAACTGTAAAAAACTTGAAAGTAAAAACCTGTGTATTTATATTATCTAATATTTTTTCTAAAAAATATATTCCTCTAGTTAATTAGATAATAAGAATAATTTTAAAATATCAGCTTCCTGAGAGTTCATTACATTTAGGAGAATTTAGCTGAGGAATGGCTGTGAAGTAAAGTACATGCCAACTTTTCTATATGAAGTTTAAGTAGATCTCTTAAAATTAAATGCCAGATGTTTCTTCCTTCACTTTCAAATCAATGAGACAAAAAAAAATTCTGTTATTCAAACTCAAATGAAAACAGATTTCATATTTAAAATGAGTGTTTGTGTACATGTTCATGTCAGCTGCTTAAATAACCGCCACCTAAATTCTTCTTAGAGTTACTAATTGTTCTCTAAAATAAATTTCATTTTAGAGCAATAAGAAAGAATCAAACTTGCAGTTGAATGAAATCAGACATACCTTGTGGCTTTACGGATGTCAATATAGGGATTTGGTGAATCAAATAGTTGTACACATGCAGGATGAAGATTATGAAATGCCTCTGCTGATTCTCTTGGAAGAGTAAAACAGCAAGGTCCTACTGAAGGTCCAAGTACAACAACAATGTCTTCCAAACTGCAGCCATATTCTGCTATCATAGCATTCACTGTAGCCATAGCAACACCCAACAAAGTACCTTTCCAACCTGGTAAATAGGAATAAAAAGAGATAAGGAAAGTCAAAATGTAGCAAAATTTCACCTGAATTTATGTCTAAGTTAAAAGTGAGCAGATATAGTTTGTATATTTTTCAAAGTTCAGAAATAATAAATGAACCACAAGATTAATTATATTATCATGTGGTTTTTAAATGAGCTATACTACACAAAGCATCTGATACAGAAGAGACATGAAGTGGGAGTTTTCGTCATCTTCCATTTAAAGATGCTCTATAGTTTTAGCTTCCACTGAGATCATAGCTCAGTCTTCTCTATTTTTCACATTTTAAAAGATTGTGGTTAAACCACAAAATCTACTATTCTAAGTATACAGTTCAGCAGTGTTGAATTCACATTGTTGTATAACCAATCTCCAGAATTTTTTCATCTGATAAAATGGAAACTCTACAACTATTAACAATAACTCCTTGTTTCTTCCTTTTACCAGCCCCTAGCAATCACCATTCTTCTTCCAGTTCCTGTACATTTGATTATTGTAGGTATATAAGTGAAATCATAATACAGTATTTATCTTTTTGTGACTGACTGATTTCACTTAGCATAATGTCCTTAAGGTTCATCTATATTGTAGTATGTGTCAGAATTCCCTGCCTTTTTAAAGCTAAATAATATTCCATTGTATGTACACACCACATTTTGCTTACCCATTCATCTACCAATGTACCTTAGATTGCTTTCACCTTTTGGCTATTGCAAATAATTGTATTATCAACATTGGTGTGCACATATCTCTTTGAGTTCCTGATTTCAATTATTTTGGATATACTTCCAGAAGGGGAATTTCTGGATCATATGGTAATCTATTTATAATTGTTTGAGAAATTGCCGTACTGTTTTCCATAGTGGCTACACAATTTCATATTACCACCACCAGTGCACCAGGGTTCCAATTTCTCCACATCCTCAACAACACTTATTTTCTGAGGTTTTAAAATAGTAGCCATCCTAATGGATGTGGGGTGATATTTCATTGTGGTTTTGATTTGCATTTCTCTAACTTCTAATCCATGAACACAGAACTTCTCTCCATTTATTTGTGTCTTCTTTAATGTCCTTCAGCAATGTTTTGCAGTTTTCATCTCTCCTTCACTTTTTACACCAAAACCTATTATATTTCGATTAACAGTCTCTTTTTACTCCCTTCCCACTTGCCCAGTCTATCGTTCCCTTGCCATCTCTGTCTTACCTGCCTTGCATCTTACAGTGTTCTAAGATAAAACCATCTTCTTTACTTCTGCTACCTTCTTGTTGCCAAAGACAGAAAGCTAAGAATATTGCATTTTTCCTTTATTCCCTATATCTGGGTTTGATTCAGCTGATATGGTTGGCCAATAATGACTCCCCTTACACCTTCCTTAAGCACTCCATACTCATATCCTTCAAAAGCTAGGCACTCAGGTGAAGGGATCATTTTTTACAGATAAAAGGAGATGATGAAAGCAAGAAGTACTTAGGTGATAGGTTCAGCCTTGACAGGTAACCCACTGGATATGTGGTTATGGGAAGAATAGAATGAAGACATCAAGTTTCTATCTGTAAGTGGGTAGGATGTCAATAATCAAAATAGGAAACCTAACTGGCAGAGAAGACTTTAGGGAAAAAGATGTTGAGTTTTTGACATAATGATTTTGAGGCACCTAAGAAGATGCAGACAGTGACGTTCAAAGGGAAGCAACTAGATATAGGTATTTTGAGTTAAAGAGAGAAATTGTCAGGGCTTTTCTACAGATGAGAGTAGCTCTCTTCTTCAGTGAGCCTCCTTAATTATCCTCTCACTTGTAGTTCATCCACCTCCTTTCTATTTGATTTTTCTCCTACAGCACATGTATATCTATGTATACATATCTGGTTAAAAGATCTTTATTAAAGTAGTCCCATAGAAGAATTTTATTCTTTTTGATATCTGATATAATAAGTATACAATGTATGTAATTATATTATATTTTAAAGTTAATTTATTTTTATTTTTCCAACTTTTTAGGTTTGGGGGTACATATATGCAGGTTTGTTACATGGGTAAATTGCATGTCACTGGGGTTTCATGTACAAACGATTTCATCACCCAAGTAGTGGACATAGTACCCAACAGACAGTTCTTCAGTCGTCACCTTCCTCCCACCCACCACCCTTAAGCAAGCCCCCATGTCCACTGTTTCTTTCTTTGTGTCCATGTGTACTCAATGTGTAGCTCCCACTTAAAAGATACATATGGTATCTGATTTTCTGTTCCTGCATTAATTCACTTAGGATGGCTTCTAGCTGCATCTATGTTGCTGTAAGAATATGATTTCATTCTTTTGTATGGCTGCATGGTATTCCATTATGTATATGTACCATATTTTCTTTATCCAGTCCACCACTGATGGGCATCTAAGTTGATTCCACATCTTCATTATTGTGAAAAGTGCTGTGATGAACATACATGTGCATGTGTCTTTATGGCAGAATAATTTATATTCCTTTGGGTATATACACAGTAATGGGATTGCTGGGTTGAATGGTAGTTCTAATTTTAAGTTCTTTGAGAAATATCCAAACTGCTTTCCACAGTGGCTAAACTAATTTACATTCCCACTAGCAGTGTGTAAGCATTTCCTTTTCTCCACAATCTCACCAACATGTTACTTTTTGACCTTTTTTTTTATAGCAGCCATTCTGACTGGTCTGAAATGGTATCTCATTGTAGTTTTGATTTGCATTTCTCTAATGATTAGTGATATCAAGCATTTTTTCATATGCTTGTTGACCACGTGTATGTCTTCTTTCGAGAAGCATTTGTTCATGTCCTTTGCCCATTTTTTAATGGTATTATTTGTTATTTGCTTGCTGATTTAAGTTCCTTATAGATTCTTGGTATTAGACCTTTTCAGTTGCATAGTTTGCAAATATTTTCTCCAATTCTATAGGTTTTCTGTTTACTCTGTTGATAGTTTCTTTGCTGTGCAGAAGTTCCTTAGTTTAACTGAATCCCACTTGTCTATTTTTGTTTTTGTTTGCTCTTGAAGTCTTCACCATGAAATCTTTGCCAAGGCCTATGCCTATGTCCAGAATGGTATTTCCTAGGTTTTCTCCTAGGGTTTTAATAGTTTTAGGCTATATGTTTAAGTCTTTAATCCATGTTGAGTTGGTTTTTGTATATGGTGAAAGGAAGGGGTCTAGTATCAATCTCCTGCATATGGCTAGCCAGTTATCCCAGCAACATTTATCAAATAGGGAATCCTTTCCTCATTGCTTGTTATTGTCAACTTTGTCAAAGATCAGATGGTTATAGGTATGTGGCTTTATTTCTAGGTTCTCTATCTTGTTCCATTGGCCTGTGTGTCAGTTTTGGTACCAGCACCATGCTGTTTTGGTAATTGTAGCCTTGTAGTACAGCTTGAAGGGAGCAATGTGACTCCAGCTTTATTCTTTTTGCTTAGGATAGCTTTGGCTATTTGGGCTCTTTTTTTGTTCCATATGAATTTTAAAATAGTTTTTTTCTAAATTTGTGAAAAATGATATTGGTAGTTTGATAGGAATAGTATTGAATCTATAAATTACTTTGGGCAGTGTGGCCATTTTAACAATATTGATTCTTCCTATCCATGAGCATGGAATGTTTTTCCATTTGATTACATTATCTCTGTTTTCTTTCAGCAGTGTTTTTGTAATTCTTATTGTAGAGATCTTTAACCTCCTTGGTTAAGGCAGCTGTATTCCTAGGTATTTTATTCTTTCAAAATTAACTTATTAATGACTTGAAATTCACATTTATAACTTCATTTTGACTGCTTGATCTTGGATATTTTTAAACTAAATGTTTTCAAACCTAAGAAGTAAAAAAATAATATCCTCTTTTTATATCCAGGAGCCAAGATTCAAATTTTAAATAACTTTTTGACATTTTCATGTAGTAAACCTGACTTCTACTCATTCAATCCCATTATTTCAGCTAGGTCAAAATAAAAATATGCTACTTTCTATTTTACCTATGAGCTAAAAAGCAAAGTAGAAATAGATTTACAAGTGAAGGAAATTTTAAACATCATCCCTCATTTCACACAAAATCACAGCTATGGGGTAATCTAAAATACCATTTTAAAATACCTTCAGAAAACAAAACTCCATATCTTTAACACAATATACCTTCTAAAAATACTTCTTTGCTCTCAGAGAATAGTTACAGTTAAATACATTAAATGATTTAAACTAAAAACAGTTTTCAAAACATCTTGCTTTTTCCTACCTCCCTAGCTTTACACATGCAGCTCCATCTGGGTGAATACTTTTCTGAAACATGCCTAACATTCCCATTTCCTATGGCCTGATTTTCAAGGATTCTCAACCAAAGGCAGTACCACTCCCCTAGGGAGTGTTTTGAAAAGCTTGGAGGGTTTCATTGTTGTTTAGTTGGTTGGTTGGTTTTGGTTATTACAGGAACTAGAGGTGCTACTGTCATTAAGAATTTCAGGGGCTAAAGACACTTAATCTGCAATATGGTATTATCTTGACCAAAATGTTAATAGCACCCTTACTGAGGAACACTGTTACTAAGCCAAAACCAACAAATTCCTTAGGAATCAACCTAGGTGCGACCTCCTTTGGGAATTCTACTACAATTCATATAATTTGATGTGGATACTCCTCTTAGCCGTCCCTATAATAAAACTATGCCGCCCCCTCTCATCATTACATTTACCACAGTGTAATGTAATTAACTGTTTGCCATGTCTATCAGAAAGAAATTACAATTTTTCCTGCACAATAAAATGAGCAAAATCCTAAACGTTTAATTAAGTATACTTACCAGCATGAGCAACCCCACATGCTTTTTTGACTGGATCTGCAAAAACTATTGGTATACAGTCAGCACCAAGAGCTGCTATTGTGACTCCTCTCTGATTTGTGGTTATTCCATCATAAGAATCAGGCTCCTTTCTTCCCATAATCCAGATGTCATTGGAATGATGAGTCTAATACCAAAAATGTGCAACAAAAATGTTTTGGAAGTGGGATTTCTCATACCATAAGCTTTCCTGAAGGTATTCATTATAGTATAAAATTATATAACCAGTTTAAGATTACTAGCATTCATTAAATATATCACTTTTGTATATGGGAAAACACAAATTTACTTATAATTTAACTATTTAAGCTTTTGGTATTATACTCTCTGATAGTTTATACAAAGAAAAGCACAGTTTAACGTTATAAAATTCAATATAGTGAATAATGAACATCTTTCCATAAAGATAGGTATAACATTTCTTAATGCACTTTCTACAAAATGAAAATTTTTCCTGTAAAAGAAAGTTAGTTACCAAATCAATGATACTTTTACTTTTCCCAGACTCAAGTAAAGCTAGAATTCTGTAAGGAACAAGACATTATCTCATCAACTATGACCCTAGTTCCTCCCGGAGTAGATTTATAAAATAATGGCCTTTCTCTACCACCATGCAGTTCCTTTCTTCAAATCAAAAAGGGCAGTGGTAGTATACTCTCTGAGAATTAACTGTACTTTTAGAATTGAGGACTCCAGATGAAATATACAGTAGGCTCTTGAATAATGTCATTTTATTCCACATCATTTCATTATAATGTTAATGAAAAAAATTGACTACCCACCCTGTCACTGACTGTGTGAGGTTTGCACCTTCTCCTCATGTCTGCATGGGTTTTCTCTGGGTAACCCAGTTTCCTCCCACATCCCAAAGAAGTGTATATGAGATGAATTGGGGTGTCTACCTGGTCCCAGTAGGAGTACGTGTGTGTGTGTAAAAGCACCCTGCAATGGAATGGCGTCCTGTCAAGGGTGGGTTATGACCTTGGATCCTGATCTGCCAGGATAGACTCCAGCTACCTAAAGCCCTGAACCAAAACAATTTGATAGTTATCTTAATTTGTTTTTATTACTCTTTTGTAAATGTATGTCTAGCTCATATTTATTTCAATATTTAATATTAGGAATGTGTTGGTCTTTATTTAGAAGTTTGGTGATGTTTTTATGACAAGAAATATGCCTTAGAAACTTTATTCTTATTTATATCAATTAGCCTATGGTAAAATTGGTTTTATTATGTCGTTTCGCTTAAAGTCACAATTTCCAAGAACCCATCAACATTAAAGGATGACTTACTCTGTGTGTGTGTGTGTGCATATATATGCCTGTGTGTGTGTATGTGTGTGTGTATAAAATAGAACTGATCTTTAGGCTATGGTGTATAAATCTAAGAAAAACAACCACAGCATTACTCTAAAACTTTGGATGAAAAAGCAGATACAAAAGTTAAATAGCTTAAAGTCCATGTAGTTAGTAGTAAAGTAAAAAATATACTTTAGATCTTTCAAAATATAAAGCAAAGTTTTACCTTTATTCGGTAAAATTTCTCCATATTAAATCCTGCAGCATTCGCCAACCTACGCAGATTTTCTTGAACCACTGCCTTGGGATCTCTCCGTTTGGAACTACTAAAGAGATTGAATGAGCTAAGAGTTGGTATATAAGATATTCCACCTGTTCTTGTAGTAAATCCATGTATGAAAATATCTGTTGAAGATAAGCAGTGAAGATTTAAAAGACGCTATTCAAAATACCAGTCTCTCAATTAGACCTTCCCTGATCACTGCTACCTGCCCTTGTTATTTGGCTTCTAATTTCTATGGCATTTTGTACCTCCATAGGTTCTTATGGCGTTCTGCTTTGTGTTTATTTTACACTCCCTATGAGATCGTTGCTCTTTAAAAGGTATCTTGTGTCTCATCTGGCTTTGTTATATCTAACAGCATATAGCTCACAGAAAATATTGTTTAACCAAGAAGCAAGATTGATTGTTTTAAATTTTACTCTTCTATGAAGGTGCCAATGATTTGAAATTTCAGAATTTCTAAATAGAAGATTTTAAGTGTCATAAATCTCATTGCAAAGGAGGGCTAGATTATTTGTCTCAACATCAAATTTTCATAAAGCAAATTTATTTATTTGGGGTGGTTTTGAAGGCGTTATCCCTTGACCCTGATACTATAGGGTCATACATGATAGCTCTGTGTTGCCACTGATGCTAATGAGTAATAAGCCCACAACAGTCAACAAAAGGAGGAAAAAAAGAGGTGAACTACCTCTGAAGAAAGATTGGTTTTTCATGTACAAAGTAAAAACAACAGTTAGTGGTTAATATACCTGGGATCAAAGGAGAAGTGATAATAGTTAATTCTCCTCTCAGTGCTGGCAGACTTCTCAAAAATGTTTCTATTTCATTCTGAATTTCTCTTAGTTCTTGAGCTGTGATTATGTTTATTTCAATGGACTGTTTAAAAAGGCCTCCCCTCAAAGTCACTTGCAAATCTTCAAATTCGAAATTGTAAACATCAGTGAAGAGTTGATCAATAAAAGCTTTCATTAATGCCTTCCTGTGCCTGGGTACAATTACCTTAATGCTGCTCAGATTTCTTTCATCAATTTTCTGTTTAATGGTATATAAACAGGCAGCCATGCTGGGACAGCTAACAATCTCAAATTCTTTCAAGAGAGCTGATAATCCATTGCCTGTTTCTAATTCACAATTATCTTGTTCTCCATCCCTTTCATAGCTGATGTTACTGCAACACATTATACAAAGAAACTTGGCCTTGGCGGCATGGTGGTACTGGACAGCATTCAAAGTCTTCAGTAATGTCTGATGGCAGTTTTTTTGAGAATTCAATTTCAAATCAAAAAGATCAATCAAAACTGCTTCTGCCATCCTTGAAAGAATACTTTTGTGCCAAATCACCTGCAAATAAAAATTAGTATAAGAATATAAAATTATATAAATCATCTTATAGTTACGACAGAAATTTGTGGTAGATTAAAAAATAATTACATTGATTTTAAAATGTAACTAAAATAGTAAATCTAGGCCCCTCCCAGAAAAGCCAGTGTACTCTGTCACAAGAGAACCATGACAGTGAAAGCAAAGCCATCTTTTAATTCGTTTTGTGAAAATGCTAGTACATCTTTCCAGCAGCACAACAGTTCCTCTGTTTTGTTTACATAGAACTTCTAAGTAAGGAATTACTTGCTGAGTTTAGACAAAGTCCTGTTTTTAAATTGCAGGTTGTCAACCTGTGTGATATATCATTAGTCCTGACATGACTGTCATATTAGGTCTCATCCTTTCATATGCAGGGGCTTAAGTTCACGAAGCTAAATGGAGCTGCACGCGAAATTCGCCTTTTAAGATGACAAAAGCTGAGATGGCTAGTAAGAGTTCCCCTGAGGATTTGCGCAGTACTCCACACTTAGCAATGACCACAAAAGCTATAGTGATTTGGACGAGACAGGCTTCCTCGCAACTTTAATTCATTCTCCCCATCCAGCTTTGCTCACCTCCAGCCCAGCCCTCCCACCCCATCCTGCGGGTCTCCAGTGACCCCCTTTGGCGACGCCCTTTGGCCCAAGGTTTTCTCCTGCCGCTTCCCCTAACCTTCTCTCCCCATCGCTCGGGGCTCCCTCTGAGGTTCATTTAGCCAGTTTTGAGTGGGTGACTGTCCCCCTTCCCTGTTCATTGTGAAATTTCCGCCCAACGTGTGTCGCCCCCGGGTCCCTGTTCCTCCTGCCCGCCTTGCCTCACGGGGCGCAGGCTGTGGCTCTGCACCTGCCCGTGCACCTCCACCGGCCGCTCACCGCCCATTCGGGACTTCCTGTCGGACAACGCGCACCAGAGGCGATTCGGGCCGCGCCTTCCCGCTTTTCACCTTCGGTTGCACACAGGTCTACAGCGACCTCTGTGACGATTTGCCGCCCCGACCCTCGTCCTGAGCCCCAACGAAATTGGGCAGCCGCGAGAGGGTCAACTGGAGTCGTAAGCTCGGCCCAGCGGCGACGACACCCGCCCCGCCTCACCTCACCCACCTCGCCCCGCCTCACCTCACCCACCTCGCCCCGCCTCACCTCACCCACCTCGCCGCCGCCGCACAGATTCCCCGCCTGCCGGTCCCGGGATCCCAGGGGAAACCTGAAGGCCGGGGCCCCGCGGGCCAGCTGCCGGGAGGCGGGAGGGAGCTTGGGCAGGGCCGCCCGGCGTGCTTGGTGCGGACGCTGCAGGCCCAGCACGAGCGCTGGGGAATCCCGGGATGAGCCAAGCGCCGCGAGCCCGCTGCTGCCTCAGCAGTTCCGGGTCTAGGCGGCCTGCCGAGCCGGCACCCAGCAGCCCCGCCGGCGTTAGAGGAACAGGAATCAGAGTCCCGCGAGGGCCCTCGGCCCGGAGCCAGGCGGGTTAGCGGGCGGGAGTGGGCAGGCCGAGTCCGGAAAGGGTCGCGAGGAGGCAGCTAGGGGCTCCGTCATGGGGGATGGGGCGGCGGAACGACCGACCCCGGGAGCGGGCGCGGGGCGGCAGGAGCTGCAGGTCTCCAGAGGGCACGGGGAGGGGAACTAAGGGCCCGGTTAGAGAACGGGACGGAGGGCACCTTGAGGGGGCGGTGGGAATGGCGGGTCGCGTGAGGTGGGGCTGCCGGAGCCACCTCGCGACCAAACCGCAGTCTCCCTTCTGCTAACGGAAGCCGTTTCCCAAGAGAGCTGAAGTCCGCCCTTCCGGTCTCAGGGACGCCTCGAGACCCAGCAGCGTTGTCAGGACGCTGGGTTTCCTCACCGCAGCCCGGGACCAGTCCCTTGTCATGTTAGCTCTTGGCAGCTTGTCCCATGCAGGGCTCAAGTCAGGGGGCCTCTCGAGGAGATGTTTTTAGTGTTTTTTTGTTGTTCGTTTGTTTCCAGAAACAAGCTGTTGTCTCTCCTCCAATGCCTTTGTGCTGATTCTTGTTGACCAACACTCTTTCGAGCGCCTTCACTTGTGTTGACAACATGGATGACCTCTATGGCCTTTTAAAATATGTGCCACTAGCAGGACTTAAGTAAAAGGCCCTCATCCCTAACTAAAATCATGATAAAGGTGCAGTTTAGCATCCCTGAGCTGTCCTCCAAGAATATAACGTTCATTTATTTGAAAATAGCAGTTAGGACATGGAAAGCCAGTGTATGCCAAAGGGAGAAAATATCCTACTTTCCAAGAGTAAGAGAAATGGTGCTTCCTGAGGAACTGTTTATGATGAAACGAGAGGTCCTTTTTACATTTACTGTTGCTCATTTGGTAGGCGCTAAAGAACCTTTTGTCTCATAATCTCAGCTGGGGGTTTGGAAGAGCCCTCTGGAGTAGGCATGTTCTTGTGCTTCACTAGAGAATGGGAGCACTAACCCGGAATAGGAACCCACCCTTCAATAGCCCTAGCACCAGTTTTGTCAAAATTCGTGTTTTCTTTGGTCGTTTGTTAAGAACCCCAAGCGGTAGATGGTACACGAAATCAGAAGTTGCACTCTGCCTTGAGTCTACGTTAAATATCATTAGGTTGGTGCAAATGTAATTGCGGGTTTTGCCATTGACAAAGACCACAATTACTTTTGCACCAGCTTAATACCTCAAGCAAAATAGAGGTCTTTTAGTTACAAAGGTTTTAAACATTTATCTCTGTTTTTACAATGGTAGGATTCGTATTCTTTCATGCAACAGTAGTGGCAGTAAAAAAAATGAAAAAGAAAATATTTCAAAAGAATGAAGTTGTCAGGGAAGAGAGAGTTTGTTATATTGTATTTGCATACCATTTCCTTTCACCATCTGGTCCTAGCGTCATGTCCTAACACTTCCTCATCCCATTTTCACTCTATCCTACTCCAGTGGTTCTCAGTCTTGACTGCAAATCAGAACTGCAAGGCAACTTAAAAAAAATAATAATAATTAATGTAGAGATTCCACCCCAGATATACGTTGAATCATAATCTCTAGGAGTCAGGCCGGAACATGTTTTGCTTTTTTTGTTTAATTTTAATCTCTATGTATGATTCAGATGCATAATTAAGTCTGAAAAACTAAAAACGCCCTATTCCCAAGCCACTCAAATAAAAGCTGTTCTTTAGAGGCCACATGATTTCATTCTTTACATTTGCAATTCCTCTACTTAGCAAAATACCCTCCTCTTTATATGCCTAACTGCTACTTTTTGTTCAAGGCTCTTCAAGCTCAAACATAATCTTCCCTGAATCCCCATCCCTCATCAAGCAAAATTAATAGCTTCTTTACATGTTGTTCATATATAAGAAGCCCTCTCATAGATGTAGTCTGGGCCCCTAGCCAAGCAATAAGTGGAAAAAATGGTTAAATATTGAATTGTACACTTTATAAGGATGAACTTTGTGGTATGTAAATTATATCTAAAAGAAGCTTTTTTAAAAGAAAAAAGGTCAGTTAAACCACAGAGTCATGAAAAAGTATAGCAAATACCTTAAACTGTATTCTAACCTAAAACAACTGTGTGTTCATTTGCCAATCTACTGAGAAGGTCCAAGACCTTTTCTTTGCATGTAGTCTACTGATTGGAATTCTGCATGCTATCTCTTGCATAAACCGTACCCATAAACCATCAGCTAAGATTTCCCAAGATTTTGTTCTTTTAAGGGGAAAATAACTTAAAGGTACTTGTG